GTCACCAGCCCGGTGTCCCACCACTAGACTACTGTGCCTCCCTTCTGTCACCAGCCCGGTGTCCCACCACTAGACCACTGTGCCTCCCTTCAGTCACCAGCCCAGTGTCCCACCACTAGACCACTGTGCCTCCCTTCTGTCACCAGCCCGGTGTCCCACCACTAGATTACTGTGCCTCTCTTCGGTCACCAGCCCGGTGTCCCACCACTAGACTACTGTGCCTCTCTTCTGTCACCAGCCCGGTGTCCCACCACTAGACCACTGTGCCTCCCTTCGGTCACCAGCCCGGTGTCCCACCACTAGACTACTGTGCCTCTCTTCTGTCACCAGCCCGGTGTCCCACCACTAGACCACTGTGCCTCCCTTCTGTCACCCGCCCAGTGTCCCACCACTAGACCACTGTGCCTCCCTTCGGTCACCAGCCCAGTGTCCCACCACTAGACTTCTGTGCTTCCATACAACTCTCTGTATATGTTGAGTACATTACACATGCATTATGGTAATGATCATGAAGTTTGATATCTATTATATTTATTTCTGTACATGAAGTAACGTACAGAAACCTGATAAACAAGCCTAAATAGCTGTATATTAAATATATTTGGCAAGACAGATCACAGGCACCGTAATATATAAAAGGCATTTAATATCAAACGGAAGGATGAAAAATCTAGGACGACCCAACTTCCTGACTGGAGCGTTGCCTTGGACCTCCAAATTTCTCAAGACCAGGAAAAAGATGGCAGATATATGCATTTTATTGTGACAAGAAATAGGAGTTTTTAGCTGCATGTCTAACTAGACATATATCTTGCTGTAAAACAAAATGAGATCATCATGTATTACACTGTAAATGTCGCTAATTCAATGAGCTCAGCTAAATCTGTCTGTAGATGAGTTATTCCTTAAAAAACTGTACTGGTACATCATCTTACACGTGAACACATAAAGATAATTTTTTTGATAAATATTGTCAATCATCCAAGCGGCATGTATGCATGCATGGAGACATAGATATTCCTGTTCAAATGTGAAGCACAGTGTTGGCAAATAGTGATACCATTATCAATTTATCTGGTAAAACTTCAATGGAATTTTCTTATCCATTTGATTTGTACGAATTATTTACTAGCTGCAGAAATATATAGAAAGCATGGATAGAACCATTTTATCCCTAGTTTACCCATATTTGGACCTTAACAATTTCGTTATTGCTTGACAGTGCTGGACAGATCTTTCTCAGATTTCAGATGTAGGTTTTAACCCTGTCATTCTTAGCTGTTCATGTTAATTATTATTCAGATTGATCGCAAGAACAAGATGGCTCCCAGCTGGCATCCATCTTGGATTGACATAAGAATTCATTACATAAATTCAAATCCTCACCTTAAAAATGCTTAAAACATAATTAGCAGATATATTAACCATACACAAAAAGAAATATTGTGCTGTAGTATTTAATCAGTGGTGTTAACAGTGGGCACTGTTTCTTGTATAAGTGTATAGAGTTATGGAGTATTCTCTTGTTTTTGCAGTGGTGGACTTCTTCAACAGAATCAACATGCTGTATGGTACTCTGTGTGAGTACTGTACGGAACAGACCTGTCCTACAATGTCAGGGGGACCAAAGTAAGTCATGAATGTCGGGGGGACAAAAGTAAGTCATGTCAGGGGGCCAAAGTGAGTCAGGTCGGGGGGACAAAAGTAAGTCATGCCAGGGGACCAAAGTAAGTCATGTCAGGGGACCAAAGTAAGTCATGTCAGGGGACCAAAGTAAGTCATGCCAGGGGGACAAAAGTAAGTCACGTTGGGGGAACCAAAGTAAGTCATGTCAGAGATGGCCAAAGTAAGTCATGTCAGGGGGACAAAAGTAAGTCATGTTGGGGGGACAAAAGTAAGTCATGTTGGGGGGACAAAGTGAGTCATGTCAGGTGGACCAAAGTTTGTCATGTCAGGGGACCAAAGTAAGTCATGTCAGGGGGACCAAAGTAAGTCATGTCAGAGAGGGCCAAAGTGAGTCATGTCAGGGGACTAAATTAAGTCATGTCAGGGGACAGGGAGGGCCAAAGTAAGTCATTTCAGGGGACCAAATTATTGTAAGTAATGTGAAAGAAGGCCAAAGTATGTCATGTCAGGGAGGGCCAAAGTAAGTCATGTCAGGGGACCAAAGTAAGTCATGTCAGGGGGACCAAAGTAAGTCATGTCAGGGGACCAAAGTAAGTCATGTCAGGGGACCAAAGTAAGTCATGTCAGAGATGGCCAAAATAAGTTATCTCAGGGAGGGCCAAAGTAAGTCATGTCAGGCGGACCAAAGTAAGTCATGTCAGGGGACCAAAGTAAGTCTTGTCAGGGAGGGGAAAATTAAGTCATGTCAGGGAGGGCCAAAGTAAATCATGTAAGGGAGGTCAAAGTAAGTCATGTCAGGGGGACAAAAGTAATTCATGTCAGGGGACCAAAGTAAGCCATGTCAGAGATGGCCAAAATAAGTTATGTCAGGGAGGGCCAAAGTAAGTCATGCCAGGGGACCGAAGTAAGTCATGTCAGGGGACCAAAGTAAGTCATGTCAGGGGGACCAAAGTAAGTCATGTCAGAGAGGGCCAAAGTGAGTCATGTCAGGGGACTTAATTAAGTCATGTCATGGGACAGGGAGGGCCAAAGTAAGTCATGTCAGGGGGACCATAGTAAGTCATGTCAGGGGACAGGGAGGGCCAAAGTAAGTCATGGCAGGGGGACCATAGTAAGTCATGTCAGGGGACAGGGAGGGCCAAAGTAAGTCATGGCAGGGGGACCATAGTAAGTCATGTCAGGGGACAGGGAGGGCCAAAGTAAGTCATTTCAGGGGACCAAATGATTGTGAGTAATGTGAAAGAAGGCCAAAGTATGTCATGTCAGGGAGGGCCAAAGTAAGTCATGTCAGTGGACCAAAGTAAGTCTTGTCAGGGAGGGGAAAATTAAGTCATGTCAGGGAGGGCCAAAGTAAGTCATGTAAGGGAGGTCAAAGTAAGTCATTTCAGGGGGACCAAAGTAATTCATGTCAGGGGACCAAAGTAAGTCATGCCAGGGGACCAAAGTAAGTCATGCCAGGGAGGACCAAATTATGTCTTGTTAGGGGGACCAAAGTATGTCATGTCATCAGGGAGGGCCAAAGTAAGTCATGTCAGGGGGACCAAAGTTTGTCTTGTCAGGGGGACCAAAGTAAGTCATGCCAGGGGACCAAAGTTTGTCTTGTCAGGGGGACCAAAGTTTGTCTTGTCAGGGGGACCATAATACATGTATATCATGACTGGGACATGAAAGTTATTCCAAAATTAGACATGGTTAATGGACTAAAGTAAGATTATTGTCATCAAATGTTTTTGTTAGTTATGCACTTGACATTGATATTTAATACAGATTAAGACAAATGCCTTGATAAGGAACACCTTGTGAAACACAATAATGAATTAGATTTCCTTGTGAAGTTTAATTAATCATGCGCTCCGGTCCACTTTCTGACGGAATAATTATAGGGCCTTTAGCACGATGTACAACATAGTAGATCATGTTCAGTAATTAGCCAGCATAACGTAGTTAACTAGATATATAATGACACCATTTAGACAACTTGGCATGAAGGATAACTCATCATTTATGCATATACATGTATATACACACCATGTAAAAATGCAAACAAAGCTTCTCACTATGGTAACCAATTCAAATTTTCTAAAATATTTGTAAATAAATTTTGATAGTCGGTGACGGGTAAATGTTAATTCTAGCACAATTTTTCCTTCAATTTTCACTGGTGCTTCTTGTGTTTGCATAGGTACACATTATACTTCAGAACATGCTGTTATATACAAGGCCATGATCATGATGCATATATAATTAGGTGGCCCCGTACTGATGTATCTGGAATTAATTCTGAAGGAATTACATAAAATATTTGCTTAAAAAGATTTAATAACTGTTTTAGACAATATGTAGTAAATTTGTAATGCCATAAGGGGGTTTATAGTCACGTTTCCCCTTTCTCCTTTCTCTTAAGACATGAATTTCATTTTGATCCATCCTTAGCACTATATCTCAGAAAATATTAGAGATTATTCTCTAATTTCATACCAAGATGGCACTCCTAGTGTGTTTAAACATATTAACATTGCATTAAAAATTGCTTATCACCTTCATGTACATGTAGATGCTTTCCAGTCATCTTGACTTTGACTATAAAAAGTACCTGTAATGAAATTGAAGGGCAGAAAAGATAAAAGATCAATCTTTTGTAGATCTGATAAGGATCCTATTGTAGTGGATGCCAAGATCCTTTTGGGATCTGTGATTTGCATATATAGGATCTTACATGAGTTTCCATTTCATATGAGATTTATGAAACAAATTTGATGACAAGTTTCATAAATTTCATATGAAATGATAACAAGTGTAAGATCCTTTTTATCACATAACCAAAATTTGTGGTATCTATTCGTGTAAAACGACAATTTTCATGTAACCCTCAAATTTAAAAGCTGCCATTTTGACTTCAGTGTGTAAGCCTGTGACGTCATGTACTTGTCATAGGCGTTACGAAACAATTGAAGCTTACAATGCAACCAATCACAGGGCTGATAGGTCATATGACATGGGTTTAATACGCAAAATAATATGACATGGGTATAGCCACTGGATAACACAGTACACTATGTGATAAATGTAATTACTTGCTGATTCAAGAGAATGTTTAACTGGTACCCATAGATCTAGATCTGAACATGATATATCATGGACATTATAAAATGTGCATAATCATTTTTATTTTAGGTATGATTATTATTGGTGTGATGGTATAAATTACAAGAAACCTACAGCCCTACCAGCCCCCAAATACATCTCCAATCTCATGGAATGGGTAGAGGAACAGATCAATGATGAAAACATATTCCCAGTAAAAGTTGGTAAGTATATACAAGATAAATATATATGGGGCAAAGAAGTAATTCCAACAGTGTGGACAAGTTTAGGTTGTCAAATTTTCGGAGCGATCCACTCCTTTATCAAGACACAGTGAAACAGAACAGTTACATCCACATATACATCATATTACAAGAAGATAGAACTGCTATACTATAATTAGAAATATAGCTATTATAAAAAAAAAAACAATAGTGCCCTCGGCTAAAGACAGCCGAAGGCAGCAATTAAAACGAGAACATCGCGGACAAGGAACGCTGATGAAGAGGACCCATTCTTGTGCAAGATGCACTCCACTTGACAACCTAAACTTGCATGTCCACACTGTTGGAATTACTTCTTTATAATATAATAAACAATAAAGGTTACCGGTATATACTGTGAAGTGGGAAATTTTCACTGCAGTTTAATTTTTGCCTTTTTCTCCCTACGTAATAAGAGCGAATTTATCATTACAGCGAATTTAAGAAAACAGCATGATAAATAGAGGATATCTAACAGTGTCTTCAGTAATACCAAATATATTTCACGAGTTGGGCTAATATTTTGATGTCTTTCACAAGTGCGCAGCGTTAAGTTACAAACCGTCTTTTGACAGATCATTTACATATGTATAATTATACACTAACGTATTTTATATATTTTCTGTGTATAAACGTCGTCACATGCTATTGTGCTGTTAATATCTAACAAAACAATGCAGGAAATGTCTATCTGACCAAATGTTACTGTCAGTGTGATTGTCTTTAACCATAATTCTGCCATGTTGGTTTATTTAATTACCTGAATAGGTGTTATACGTATCATATGTATTAATATGAGTCTCATTGTCACTCATTGTGCTTGTTTTTCTTCAAAAACAATTCGGAAAACAGCATTTTACTTGTGATAAGCTCAAGGGAGCTGGTCTTCAAAGGAAGTACTGTAAAAGCATAATATTTCGTTGGGGATTGAGTTTCGTGCAATTCTTGGTTTTATAACAACCACGAAAATAGTAAATAAGCTATTCATTTTATTGCAAATTCATGGTGGATTTACATTTAGACACAAGTCATGATAAACGGTGTAATTATCGTCACTGGCACAGAGGTAAACACTTGTAGCAACAGTGGGTCAATCAAGCATTGTATTTGTAACAGTTATTGAATCGTAACACAGGTAATGTCAGCACATGTCAATATCTATATAAGCTACAGAGCGTGACGGATTTGATCGATACCCATCACATTTTAAGATATTAATTCCACGAAATATAATCCCCACGAATTGGTCCCCATACAAAAACAACGAAATTTAACTACAGTAAATGGTTACTGAGTGTATTAGGGCCCAGCAACAAGAGACCTATTTGGGTTCTATATCAACCACTGTCTGGCTGTCCAGTAATTTCTTTCCTGATCATAGAACTCTAGGTTTGCCAACTGCTTTCAAACTTCACTATGTTGATGATCAATGAAATATATTCACTTTCTTATCCAGATGAAATTTACAAGTTCTGGAATCACTTTCGATACATTCCTGTGTATTAAAAAAATTAAAGTGGACAGGCTTAGTCAGAAAACAGAAATATAGCAATCCCAAATCAATAACGCAGGATATGTTGGCGGTAAACGAGGTGGCAAATGAATGGCAGTAAAGGAGGTGGCATATGAATGGCAGTAAACGAGGTGGCAAATGAATGGCAGTTAACGAGGTGGCAAATGAATGGCAGTAAACGAGGTGGCAAATGAATGGCAGTAAACAAGATCGCAAATGAATGGCAGTAAACGAGGTGGCAAATTAATGGCAGTAAACGAGGTGGCAATTGAATGGCAGTTAACGAGGTGGCAAATGTAAACGAGGTGGCAAATGAATGGCCATAAACGAGTTGGCAAATGAATGGCAGTAAACAAGGTGGCAAATGAATGGTAGTAAACAAGGTGGCAAATGAATGGCAGTAAACGAGGTGGAAATTAATGGCGGTAAACGAGAACGAGGTGGCAAATGAATGACAGTAAAGGAGGTGGCATATGAATGGCAGTAAAGGAGGTGGCAAATGAATGGCAGTTAACGAGGTGGCAAATGTAAACGAGGTGGCAAATGAATGGCCATAAACGAGTTGGCAAATGAATGGCAGTAAACAAGGTGGCAAATGAATGGTAGTAAACAAGGTGGCAAATGAATGGCGGTAAACGAGGTGGCATATGAATGGCGGTAAGCGAGGTGGCAAATGTATGGCAGTAAACGAGGTGGCAAATTAATGGCGGTAAACGAGAACGAGGTGGCAAATGAATGACAGTAAACAAGGTGGCAAATGAATGGCAGTAAACGAGATCGCAAATGAATGGCAGTAAACGTGGTGGCAATTGAATGGCAGTAAACGAGGTGGCAAATGAATGGCCATAAACGAGTTGGCAAGTGAATGGCAGTAAACGAGGTGGCAAATGAATGGTAGTAACCAAGGTTGCAAATGAATGACGGTAAACGAGATCGCAAATGAATGGCAGTAAACGAGGTGGCAATTGAATGGTGGTAAGCGAGGTGGCAAATTAATGGCGGTAAACGTGGTGGCAATTGAATGGCAGTAAACGAGGTGGCAAATGAATGGCGGTAAACGAGGTGGCAAATGAATGGCCATAAACGAGTTGGCAAGTGAATGGCAGTAAACGAGGTGGCAATTGAATGGCAGTAAACGAAGTGGCAAGTGAATGGTGGTAAACAAGGTGGCAACTGAATGATAGTAAACAAGGTGGCAAATGAATTGCGGTAAACGAGGTGGGAAGTGAATGGCCATAAAGGAGGTGGCAAATGAATGGCAGTAAACGAGGTGGCAATTGAATGGCGGTAAGCGAGGTGGCAAATGTATGGCAGTAAACGAGGTGGCAAATTAATGGCAGTAAACGAGGTGGCAATTGAATGGCGGTAAACGAGGTGGCAAATGAATGTCAGTAAACAAGGTGGCAATTGAATGGCAGTAAATGAGGTGGCAAATGAATGGCAGTAAACAAGGTGGCAATTGAATGGCAGTAAATGAGGTGGCAAATGAATGGCAGTTAACGAGGTGGCAAATGTAAACGAGGTGGCAAATGAATGGCAGTAAACGAGGTGGCAATTGAATGGCGGTAAGCGAGGTGGCAAATGTATGGCAGTAAACGAGGTGGCAAATTAATGGCGGTAAAAGTGGTGGACATTGAATGGCAGTAAACGAGGTGGCAAATGAATGGGAGTAAACGAGGTGGCAAATGAATGGCAGGAAACGAAGTGGCAAATGAATGGTGGTAAGCAAGGTGGCAAATTAATGGCGGTAAACGTGGTGGCAATTGAATGACAGTAAACGAGGTGGCAAATGAATGGTAGTAACCAAGGTTTCAAATGAATGACGGTAAACTAGATCGCAAATGAATGGCAGTAAACAAGGTGGCAATTGAATGGCAGTAAATGAGGTGGCAAATGAATGGCAGTTAACGAGGTGGCAAATGTAAACGAGGTGGCAAATGAATGGCCGTAAACGAAGTGGCAAATGAATGGTGGTAAGCAAGGTGGCAAATTAATGGCGGTAAACGTGGGGGCAATTGAATGGGAGTAAACGAGGGGGCAAATGAATGGTAGTAAACAAGGTGGCAAATGAATGGCAGTAAACGAGATGGCAAATGAATGGCAGTAAACGAGATGGCAAATGAATGGCAGTAAACGAGATGGCAAATGAATGGCAGTAAACGAGGTGGCAATTGAATAGCAGTAAACGAAGTGGCAAATGAATTGCGGTAAACGAGGGGGGAAGTGAATGGCGGTAAATGAGGTGGCAAGTGAATGGCAGTAAACGAAGTGGCAAATTAATGGTGGTAAACAAGGTGGCAAATGAATGGTAGTAAACAAGGTGGCTAATGAATGGCGGTAAACGTGGTGTCAAATGAATGGCGGTAAGCGAGGTGGCAAATGAATGGCAGTAAACGAGGTGGGAAGTATATGGCCATAAACGAGTTGGCAAGTGAATGGCAGTAAACGAGGTGGCAAATGAATGGCAGTAAACGAGGTTGCAAATGAATGGTAGTAAACGTTGTGGCAAATGAAATAGGGGGCATTATATTGAGGTTTTACTGTACTTTTTGTGAATGCACATGACAGGGCACTGACATGTCCTATATATGTAAAGTCCCTTAAGCTTCGATACAGGAAACTCTTCTGTCTTGGTAAAATGTGTTTAACAAAGATGATCTTATGACTAACTCTTATCTCTAGTAGTGTAAATAGCATTGTACGTTTATAAACAATGTGTTCTCTACCTTTTACAGGTGTGCCGTTTCCCAAGAATTTCACCCCCACAGTAAAGAAGATCCTGACAAGACTGTTCAGAGTCTTCGTCCACGTGTATATCCACCATTTCGATAAATTACTGGCACTTGAGGCGGTAAGCTACCCTGAAAATTATTGAAATCTTAACAGGGATTTTGCTAGGGCCTTTTTGGGGGGTCTGCAATAGAATAGAACCATATTCATTCTGAATTGAAGCAAAAAAATTAGATCTGCTAAAATAAGAATACCTTATTTGAAGGTTTTTAAGATATAATTATATATTATTAAATTGTTCAACTACAAATAAACATTGCTGTTAATATTATGTTTGTATATTTCAATTTTCAACTTAATACAAACACTAAACCATGTTTAAAATGAGTGGGAAGTTCTTGTATTTCATACTAAAATATTGTTTATATGAAACTAATGGGAATATTATTTATATAATATAATGTAACTTTCCATAGGAAACTGTTTTTCTGGCATGACTATAACTTTGATAAATCTGGAGAGAAAACCACACCTTGCAGGACTTTTATGGGGGGGAAAAAAAGAAAAAAAAAGAAATATACAAAATAAAATCGCCAAGAGTATTTTGAGTGTAATTGTCCAGCAGGCCTAGACTGGGATTTGTACATTGGATTTTTGCTTGTTACACTCTTGCTCTAACCAATTGAGCTTAACCTAGTCAACAGAAATGTCCTCGCCCAACTGTGCTCTAGTAATATCCAAAAGGAAATTAAGGGGAGGTTACTGATTAATGCAGTGTCCTATCCCAGTTGTGCTGTAGTTATATTCAAAAGGAATTAAGGGGAGGTTACTGATTAATGCAGTGTCCTATCCCAGCTGTGCTGTAGTTATAATCAAAAGGAATTAAGGGGAGGTTACTGGTCAGCGGAAGTGTCCCGGCCAAACTGTTATATCCAAAAGGAAATTAAGGGGAGGTTACTGGTCCAACTGTGCTTTAGTTATATCGAAAACAAAATTAAGGGGAGGTAACTGTATTTATGAAAAACTACACTGCAGTGGGACAGGGATCCTGAAGGATTAACTGGTTATTTCTCATTAACAGGAGGCTCATGTCAACACGTGCTTCAAACACTTCTACTACTTTATCAAGGAGTTTGAACTGGTGGAGAAGAAGGAGCTAGAACCACTCGTAAGTATTCCTCTCAGTCATTAATGCTTATAATCGTAACTGGTTGATGAAATGTTTTGTTTTACTTGATTATCCCCTCGCAAACAAAGGGCGAGGGGATACAGTATTCAGCCCATACAAATGTACATATGTATGTATGCATGTTACACAACGTCGAAGGTCAAGGTCACCGTTACTATTTTTAGAAAAACTTTGTCATCGATCTAGCAACTTTATTCCTCAATGGAATTTCATGAAACCCAATACAAGTGTTTGATATGACTATGCTCTGCGTCCGACACAATTTGCCTTTTTCTGCTTCTGGAAGATTTCCATTCCAACATGGCGGAGGTAGCAGGGGCGATTTTGAAATGCGGAGATTGCGGAATGTGTTGCTACACATTCTCCGCGTTTAACAACTGTCGTATTATTATTATGCGTTAAATATGTATGTTTCGCAGTTCGTTATCCAACACAATTCATAGTTATTCAAATGAGGTGTTTACAGAAAATAAGCATAAGAAAGCCGGGCGTTCTAATGGAAGTGTAACGTGTTGGAAAAAAGCGCTGTTCCAAGACCCAACTCAATATTGAAATAAGTTTACTAAAACCTATTGATATATAACATACAGTGCCGTGCCATATATATGGTCTTGCACGTTTTGTCATTTTCAATGGAAACAAAACGATTCCTGATACAATTCTTATCAATGCATTTATATCTTCTAATCAAGCAAGTGTTAGTTCGTTTATGTCTGCCATATTGGAAGTCTTCCGACTGCTGGATTGTCATATATACCCAAAATGCTCATTTCTGAAAGTATCTTCCTCTTCCAGAAGACGGCAAATCGTGTCGGACTTTGAATAAGTTCGTGTTACAGCTTGCTACATTGAAGGTCAAGGTCACTGTTACTAAAAAAACTTTGTAATCCCTCTATGGATTTCTGTAATCCCTCTACAGATTTCTGTAATCCCTCTACAGATTTCAGTAATCCCTCTACGGATTTCTGTAATCCCTCTACGGATTTCTGTAATCCCTCTACGGATTTCTGTAATCCCTCTACGGATTTCTGTAATCCCTCTACAGATTTCTGTAATCCCTCTACAGATTTCTGTAATCCCTCTACGGATTTCTGTAATCCCTCTACGGATTTCTGTAATCCCTCTACGGATTTCTGTAATCCCTCTACGGATTACGGATTTCTGTAATCCCTCTACGGATTTCTGTAATCCCTCTACGGATTTCTGTAATCCCTCTACGGAATTCTGTAATCCCTCTACGGAATTCTGTAATCCCTCTACGGATTTCTGTAATCCCTCTACGGATTTATGTAATCCCTCTACGGATTTCTGTAATCCCTCTACGGAATTCTGTAATCCCTCTATTTCATGAAACTTGATACAAATGTTAGGTATTTAGTACCTGCAACACATTCACGTTTCTGCGTTAAAGGTCAAGGTCAAATACTGATACATCATTAAATTTTCTATTAATTTCCTCATACACATGGCACACAATGTGTGAATGCGAGGGGATTTGTATCACTTGTGATGCCTTATTACGTCTGTTTTGATTCAATCTATGTTATGGACTCTACATTACCGTATTTTACCGGCAATAAGCCCCCCGCCCCCTTACCTTACCTCTTACCTCTACTGTAGACACATTCTTTTAGCCTCATTTTGAAAATAATCCGCTTACCACGGTATCTGATTGATTAATGTGCTATATCAAGTTATATGCCTAATATATACAGAGAATGTTGTCTTTGTTTCCAGCGAGAAATGACCGAAAGGATGTGTCACTGCTAACGGGCCTTCAAGCAGTGGAAAAGGCATGGTAGGGTAATTGCATGCTATATCTCCACTTTGTGCTAGGAGGGGAGGGAGCGGCACCCCAGGGTATAGACAGGAGACTTGGATTCGTAAGACAAGGAAGGAAAAGCATTACAAATCCAAGAGTAGCAGAGAGACAAACCTCCGTCATGGACTTCATAGCAATGCAGGGAATAATATTGACTCATTTTTGTCGTCATCATCATCATCATCATGATCATTATTACAATGGTTTCAACATATAATTAGGTGTTTAGTGGAGGAAACCGTTATGTATGGTCCTCCGAAACCCAAACAGTTACATGCATATATAGACTTCCTGTGTGTGGAATAGACCTATCGCCAACTAACTGACAATTTGACATAACAGATTTCTGGTTCTCATTGATTTGATTATGATGTCATAATCTAATCTGTTAGGATGTCGGCGATCGTGGTGATAGATCAGCTGACAATTACGGATTGTGATTATTTTTGCTAGCTAGACTATTATATTAGCTGTCTAATTTGTTGAGAAATTTTACAATGCGAACACCTTGGTATGTTTATACGTTCATGAGCAGTTATCCCTATATTATATATCATTAATAAATTATGTCATTTTCATCATTATCAGGGGTACGTTCAGAAGCAAAGTCGTTCATAGAGAGTGTTCTGTAGCAAGTCACTTTCAAATTAAATCAAAGGACAAGTAAAAGAGTTTTTTTCCACAAATGTTGCAGAACGCTTTTTGTTCTGAACGTACCCTAGTTCTTAAAAAATAATCTATATTTGAAAATCCAGCTTAACTTTTTTGTCCATACTTTTCCGAGATAAGACTCTTGTTTCGATTTCATAACATAAATTGTATATGCAATTATATAATTGCTTTACATTTGGAAAAAATCTTCCAGTGTAGTATATGGCATATTTTTTTGCTTTTTTGATAGATGGTGGATAACATTTGAATTTGATAGATATACATGTTTTACAGTTTTGTAATAAAACGATATTTCCGCTTCCTGTACTTTGTTATTGCCCCTTTCGTGGTGTCGAAATTCAAACAAGTTCGTCTACCCTGAACCCCAAAACATTTTGATTGTACAATATCTAATGATGTTAAGACTATACATGAATGGTTGTAGCATAAACTGTATTCATTACTTTTTCTATGAAAGCAAAATACTTAAAATGCATCTTAATTATAAAGTTTGTTTCCCTTATACATCAAGCATAAATTAATTATCTTATTACTGTATACTTCAAACAATTTTATCTCAAAAATTTAGAAACATTTAAATTATGTTGAAGAAAATTGGAAAATGGGATCTGAAAATGGGTTCGTTCGGTTTTGTTTAACATCGGTCACACTTCGGGGTCAGGTATTTTTAATGCACATATTTCAAAAGAAAAACGAACATTTCCAAATATTCATCAAGTTCATTTGCTTTCAATTTAGAATATAATTTTGTTAAGTATTCACATTCTCCCTTTGCAAAAATGATAACAACTTACTGTGTCATTTTTAGGTTGATTTTGTTTCTGTCTGATTTACTTAATTATAACATTGCCTTTCAGGCAAATGGTTTTGTCGCTTCTACTTATTTTTTTTCTTCTGATTTTTAATTTGCAGCATATATGACGGCTGGCATTCCTAATTTTGATTAATATTGTTATGAATTTTGTTAATTGTTTGTTAATGTATGTATCCATTTTAGCTGGTCTAAATTTTTTTGAAATCTTTCTGTAAATTGTGTTAATCTGTTGGTATCTGAGGCCGCTGTAAAGCACAGTCTCTTTATTATTGGTTCAACAACATTTCAGATGATTTTAAAAAAGTGCTTTTATTATGCTACACCTGATTGTACATTTTAATTTTCTTTTCTTTATGAATGTGCCAATGTGGTAATATGAGTATGTCATTTGATAACTCCAGATTTTCTCCAATGTCAATATCAAACTTGCTTTGATTTGTGTTAATATTAAATAATTTAATCTTGCTTGCAACAAGCATTTTCATTGGCTTACAAATTTATGTTATCAGCCCATAATGTAAAAAAAAAAAAAGACGTTGCCGTTTGTAACATCGCTTTTGATTTGCTGATACAGCAGCGCAATAATTTCTAAGAGAAAAGAGAGCATCAATAAAAGAGTATTTCCACAGGGATTGTGTATAGTAGATTAAATTATAAGGATTAACTTGAATATATTTTCATGTTATGGAGCTATAACACAAAAAAACGGAATGTACTCTCATCATAAACCGCTTCGCGGTTTATTTAGAGTACACTCCGTTTTTTGGTGTTTTTTTAAGTCCTTAAAAATCCTTAATCCTTAAATTTTATTGATGTGATTAATAAATATCAATTAAGGAGGTTTTTCATGCGATGTCATTTTGATTACAGATCGAAATTCTGTTCAATTTTAGAACCCATCAAAGCATAACAAACTTTTCTAAATCACACATATGCTGATCTTTACAAGAAATTTCCAAAACAAAACATACTATAAAACAGTAAAGGGAGATAATCCAGTGAACAACTGGAAATTTTCTAGTCAACACACTCTAATCTTATTTATAAATTAGAAAAAAACCACTAGTTGCTTTGTAAGTTATTGAATAGGTGTAGAATACAGGACGAGTTAATTAGTTTGTTTGTTTGATAGATGAAAAATATTACTTGCCATTAGAAAATTTCACTTGAATTCTTAAATGGACTGAATCTAATTGTTTTGTAAATAAATCGTTTCGTCCTTGATTTCATAAACATACTGTACATCTACACTGTGTAAATGTTAATGTTAATCATATTTTAATTATTTTTTTGTTCAAGTAAATGTGGAGAAGTCAATTCATATTTAAAAGTATTTGTCCTTCCAAATCCAGCGAAAGGAGAAATCGAAATAAATGAAATTTCTTTATAACTCAGATATGTTTAGTGATATGTCGGGGGGAAAAATGACCTCAACTAAAGTTTCAAAATAAATCTCTTCTGTCTATGGTTAAGTTTTTCTACCCATAACATTTATATTGTATATCAATGTGGTTTAAATTCAGATTCTATATGAGGTTTATGTACTCTTGAGAGGGACTAGATGTTTAAAGAGGGGTAAACCTGGGTCATCTCAATTCCGACATTCCCCCCTCCCCCTCCCCCCACCAAAAAAAAGTTTGGGAAATAAAATCTAACTTTAACCTTTAAAAAAACGTGTTCTGCTTACTACATTTATTAATACATTGTACATCGATGGGATTATATTCAAGTCAGATTCTATGTTAGAAAGATGTACAACTACAAAAATGGAGTTCTGGAGTGGCGTTTATCTAGGATCTACGCTATATATTAATTTCTTTACTTGATTTCATTAGCACTAACGAATTATACACAGTGTAGGTGTTTGAATATACAAACAAACACACAAGTCTTGTACAATGAAATTGAGTTTTAGTGTACAGACTACTTTACAAGCCATCGCTGAGCCTCAGTGTGTACATAGTTTGTAGAATAGTATTATTTCCATGTTCATGTTATGTACGCTAACAGTTTACAATGATTTTATTTTTTATAATCTGTCTCAGAAATTTCCAATTCCAACCGAAAACTCAACATTCAGAAAGTTTCACCCATGATGGTATGCACAGACTATAAGACAAAAGTTTATTTTTAGTTAATATATGTCTTTTTTTTATAATAAAAGCAAATCTTATATTGTATATCAATTATAAATGCAAATGTATTAAAGTAAAAACAGTGTGTGTTAAGATTTTCCTTTTAAGAATGGCAACCATCGTACAATTTCCAGAAAAGCGCCATATAATATTATGTAAATTAAGTGTTTAATTTACGAACTGTTGATCGCACTTGCCAACTTTTTGAAATTTCCATGGGGGAGATTACCTGTGCTCAGAATTTAAAACATTTAAATAAAATTATACATTAAGGGGGAAAATAACACTTCAAATGACATATTTTGAGCTGTTCTTTCAGATATAAATCATCAGATCTTGGAAAATAGAAATAATTTAGCAAATTCACTGGTTAAAAATGCTCAGTTTCAGGGTCTTAAATCGAGAGTCTCCCTCCAAAATAAGGAGAGTTGGCAAGTATGGTTGTAAGAAACATATATTGTGTTAGTTGACAACAGACCCTGAATGTCCATATTTTTCATTGTTATATCCGAATACATTATAATATGTAGTTACAATCTACAAACCATCTCCATAGATTGATCTCATATACCTGTTTAAGACTAATCAACTTTCATACATTGTGTATGGAGAACTATTTTTCGACGTTTTGTTCGTGAATCTTCAACTTTCGATAAATATATACTAGTACATGTACAGTACTTACTATTCAAATGATATGAAAGACTAACACACAAAGAAGGTTCAAAACAAAATGTGGACAACTCCAGCTGTATATAGGATAGAAGTAAAAGGAAACATGTTTTTTCAGTTATTGGAGACCAATATTTGTTTAAAAAGTGTATATATTTGACCTATAAATGGAGGAAATTGCGCGAAAAAGTTCTTGAAGGTAATTTCCGTAAATATTATTGATTTGATTGTTAGGGGGAGGGCAAATTTTGTGTGAATTCCCCACCACCCTCAATTATCTTGGGATAAAATGTAAAATCTGAAAGTGATACTCAATTTCTTTTCTTTTTTGTTTAACGTAAATGGGGTATTTATCATTTGCTTTTGTTTGTATTATGCTTTCTGTTCGTGGGGAATTATCAACTTATTTTGTGTGTTATTTGATTTTCTCTTAATTTTTATACTACTACTCATATAATCAAAGGATTTTGATCACCTCATAACTATGGTCTGAGGACAAGCAGTTGTGAGTTTGACACGGATAGAAATTAAGATCAATCCTGTGTTCACAAAACAGTTCAAGTATTTGGTCTCTTGAATGAGTGTCTTAAAAGTTTTGTTGGAAAGTACAAGTAGTAAAAGATTTGAAATTAATAGTAATATTTTCGTTGCAGTGAATTTAAAAAAATATAAAATGTGATATTTTTTCTAATGATGATATATAGTTGAATTTTACATTACAAGTTCGACATATGAATGGGACTCAAATTTTCTGATTCATTTTTATCCAAGAAACTTTTTGTTTCATCTTGTCCCAATAAACGAGACTCCACTGTATTGCTGCAAAACTTTTAATGTCCTTCTAGGTCATTTGTCCTGAACAGAATGTTAATGAAAATTGTAGCTTAACACTGTAGAATTGTATCCTTACTTAGCTGAAAATCATTATCAGCATTGAGCGGTGTACTTGGTCTAATATTGGAAGTACTTTCTGTTTGTAATTAAGATGTGAGGCTTACTGTATGTTGCCTGTGATAAGCCTTGGTAATAAACCCATTCTATGTTAAACAGTTCGTCGGTGGGCAATGCATGGTGTCATCGTGTTCAGAAAGTTTTGGTTTTGCTAAGTCTCCCAGCCAGAAACAATGCTTCCCCTCAAGTGCTCTATTTTTCCCAAAATGAAGAAAAACTGAGCAATATCTTCCACATTTTAATAAAAGAAATAAAAAAGGCGGTATTTTCCCAGTTCATGTAGGAACATGCTTTGTAAAATTTTGAGAGAAATAAAAACTTATTTTAATTTAGTTCATCGACAGACCCACTAAAGCTGAGATCAGGATTTGTTGATTTCGTAACAGCTGTACTCGTTTTGAGGATAACACCCCCAGGCTTGTTGCAGGTAAAACACAGCAGGTTTTACGGTGCTGTTATATTGTTATACAGGTGCCGCCTGAAATGTTTTATGGTGCTCTATGTACATCTGTTCAAATCCTTCCTGGTAATTACAGTTTTTCATTACCGTAACTATGTATGTCACACGGTTTTCTCATGGGGTAAATTGTACTCTACATTGTTCAAATGTTTTTCTAGAATCAATATGTCATGATATCTAAGTTTCTGATAAAAATCTTTTTTGCATTTTTGAAATTGACTGATTACTGAAAAAAAATAATATATATATATATATATATTCTATTTTGGGCTATTCCAGTACAAAATCTACCCGACCTCAAGGCTCCAAAATAAATCGTGTCTATCCATGGATGGGTTTTCTGTCTAATTCTTAGTATGAGTTTTTTGCAAATTATTTAATGAAATTAAATAGGTGGTGTACCTAAACTAAAACAACATAGAGTCCTAGGTTTGATAGATGTTTATTGGAAGAGCACATAATAGTTATGTATCCTCAAATTATTGAATTATAGTATAAGCTGGTTTATATATAAAAGACTGCTTCATTTGCTTTTATCCAATGTATTGTCAATCGGAAAAAAAAATGATATTAGCCCGGAAAGGTTTTATTTGGAATACCAGAATATTAACACAGTGTATAAAAAATTGTATCTGTTTTCGGATTTTAAAATTGAAATGTAGTATATTTCAAGTTTGATATTAATATTAAAAGTTACTACTGTTAAAATTTACTTATGTCTTCAAATGTCCTGTATGGCAGCATACTTGCCAACTTTTTGAAATTTCCATGGGGGAGATTACGCATGCTCAGAATTAAAAACATAAATAAGGTCACATATACACCTTAGTGAAAAAAATAACACTTTTAAATGGCATCTATTGAGCTGTTCTTTCAAATGAAATCATCAGATTATAGAAAAAGGAATAATTCAGCAAACTAGCAACTATTACTGGTGTATATGTAAGTAACTCAGGTGCCCATGTTGCCACAAAGGTATGTTTGATTTTAATTTTCTAATTTCTAAAATGAAGAAAATTATGGAAAATATATCATCAGTTATTATATTAACAGACTTCAGGTCCCACTCTGTCTGATGTCTTTTAGTAAAGTGCAAATATTGTGTTAAACTAAGTGCCGATGTTTACCACCGACAACTTCTTAATGGATATATAAAGCATAAATACAATGCTGTACTTTACCCTTGATAAGCCCATGGCCAGTAATAGGCCCATGTGGTATTTTTTTATTATTTATGTACATGTAGGTCAAATCTGTCAATAAGCAGTTATTAGGATGAATTTCAGAAACATTAAACTCTGAAGTTGGTGCTCATTTTACTGTTTCTAAAGATTAGGATTTTTTTAAAACTTTTCTACAAACTAGAGGCACAATTGGTTTATCGAGAATACAGTACACTTTGTTGGCCTGAGTTTACCAGTAATGAATATGGTATGCCGTTACAAGAGTTACTAAACCTATGTACAGTTTACTTGTGTATGTCTCTATAGTTCTGTTATGAGTATGGAAGATTTTGTATAAGAGACTGGATCTCTCGCAAGACCACCTCAAGATTTCAGATTCTTGGACGGTACTGGTAACTGTATCTGCTCGTGTAAATAAAATTATTTCAAGGAACTACCGTTTTTGAGAAACCTTCAGTTTTAGAAGCATAACAAGACAGATTTTATTGTATGGTAATGTAGTGCATTGTTATTTAGGAAAGCATATCTGGTAATATTTTCCTGAATGAATCTGTAGAAGTAATTGATGTGCAAAAATATTTGACGTTAATGAATTTTTATCACAGGGACCTGGAATACCTGGGGTCTTTGTTAATTAACAATTATCTAAAATATTTAAAACTGAAGTGTCATAGTCATTAGGTTTATTCTTCTGTGTTTAATTAGGCTCTACCCTATGTAATACACGTGTTATTAACAAATATCATCCAAGACGTTGCATCAAGTCTCATTAGAGATATTACTGTGTGACGTGAATTGTTGCCTTCAGTATTGAAAAGGCTATCTTAATATTTTAATTAATGTTGAAGTTTTAATTAAAAAAATTCTCCCAATGACTGCCTAGGCCAATTATGAGGTCCCTGTGATTATATTTTCATTGCCATCCGTTAACATAGATTTATTCATCAGTATGATACTTACGAAATCTATACAAAACCTTCGACTGTGAAATGGACATAATTTCCCCTAAAAGCTAGATCTGTTCATCATATATGTATTACCCAACGTAATTCATTGTCGATCAAAAACACACAATAAAAATACTTTATCGTTTCTTGACTTTTTTTCTGTTATTTATGAACAAGTTATTGAAAAAAATGATCTTATATTTGAGCTGAAATAATATATACCTGTACAATGTTTAAATACATTTAGTAAAAGATGGTACATGGCCACAGATGCTACACGGCAGTTGAAGCCCACAAATGCAAGTTACAATACATCGTTTGCGAAATACAAGTTTCCGGAACAAAAGTCACATGATTTGGTAATCACGTGGTTCATGAATGGGGGTATGTATACTCCTGGTATGAAGGTAAATCGCTATTAACTCATTCACCCCTGAAGACACATTTGAACTCTTCCAATTCAAAGGTTGGAATAGTGCATTAGGAAACTTCTGGGGTGAATGAGTTAAGCCAACTTCATTGCAGTTTACGATTGGTTAAATTAGTGGAAACAGCTGAAATTTCACATCCTTCATCAAAAGGATGTCTACTGACGTCCGATATGCAGTTCGAAACTATACACCAGTGTTTTTTGCATATTGTTTGAACTGCTGTCATATTAATCGCTGTTTACAGGAATATACATATGCCCCCTTTTCATGTGACATGCATATCTAAAATCCGGTCAAATTGGGAGAGAAAGAGTAGATCTCGAAAACAACACGAGAACCGTGGCCCCTAGATCATGAAATGATCTTCAAGTCAAAAACTGTCTGAAGTTTTGACTTCACCAATCACAGATATCGTAATGAAAATTGATGTCATATGTGATTGGCTAAGCAAATTGTTAAGTCTAAGATTGTTTCACTTTCCCGGGAACCTGGACTCCCAAACTTGAGGCTGACAATTTTCCCAAAAATCCAGTTTCACTATAATTCTACCTACACTCCTACACTCTCTTAGTGCACATTTAAGCTAGATTCAGATATTATAAAAATTCTATGAAGTTGATGATTTCCCCCCCGATTTTCTCCGGGGCCTGTAGTATATGATGTATAGCCTACATCTGTGATTGTACAACATGCCATGTCAGGAACGTCTGTCTTGTTCTTTGTGATGCTCTTCAATCCTCCTTGGAGTATTAACATCCAGCCTTGTGACGGATAATGACTTAAAACAGACCACAACATTGAGGATGATTGCAATTTATTGTAAGGTAAACAAATTCATGAATAATGGACTATCATGTATATGTAATAAGTATATATATAACTGCCCAGCGTAACACAGATACTAGTTACATAACGCTTTAAAATGGTATCTCCATGTAGTCAAGGAAGTTTGGGTGGTCAAATCATTAATCAACTTCAAATGATTTTTTTTTAGAACTTTTGACTGTGCTAATAGTTTGGATAACTTTTTCAGATACAAAAGCATGGAATAATACAGATTTTCTTTATTTCACAAATTAACTTTACCAAAACCAGGGTCTAGGTCTTTTTGCATTTAATGTCTAAAATTCCAATTTCAAATTTTTATATACATTTCATACATGTTGGACTTTCACTTCCTGGTTATCAATTTTTACCTACTGATTATTGACAAGTTTTTTTTAACCAGCTTTTTATTTGTGTACAAAATATTGCTGGTTTCGAAAAAATCTTTTGAAGATTTTTTTTTGTATGTTTTAGAATGTCATACATTGTGTGTTAGTACATTATATACTTGAATGATCATGTACCTTGGAAGAGCAGATTTCACAACCTTTGCTCCAACACAAAAATCAATTATACCTCATCTACTTCACAATATCAAACATTATTTTACACTACTTCTGTGAACAACTTGCAATCTAATCCATATAATATATCTTTGTAATTATTCTTTTTCACTCTAAATGCATTTAACCATTTCAAATACCACCAGATAAAATCGAATAATTTAATTTAAAAACTTCATGATGAGGACTACTATCATATATATACCACTGTTAAATATTTGTTCACAGGCTCAAAAGAATATGTTATTTTTTTCAGATGTTACTGTTACACAGTGTTGCAGTTTCATGAGTGAATAGGAATTTAGTTTGATGTTGATTACGCCAATAAGATTTAGGAACGAAATTCTAAATTTGAAAAATAAAAATTAGCAGTATAGTGGTTTTACATTGTGCGAAGGATATATAGTGCTATACAGATGTTTCAGTGCCCTTAATTGCTAATGACAAGATTATTACACTATATGTATATCAATTAGCACTAAGAATAAATGTAGAGCACAATTTTGATAACCTTTCACCCCATGTAACTTTAATGAACTCTACCATAACTTGATCTGGATGAGTTCATTATGGTCTACGGTGTTGAAAGGGTTAAATCTAGGACAACTGATCTATCACCATGGAGTATATTGAAAAAGTATCAATGATCGACTATTACAAGACATTATCATGTTGATGTACAGGTATAGTGTCACTATCGAAAGCTCATTTTGTACTAGGCCCTGCTGGTACGAAATTTCTTAATTTTTTAGTTCTCAGTTCTCAATTCTCAGACTAAAGTAGGTGCTAATTAGCTGAGAAGTTCCTAAAATATTGACCCATTCTTATGATAAATCTAAGAATTGAGAATTAAGAATTTTGTAGATAGCCAAAAGTGAAGCATATGTTTAAAGTTCAGCATATACTTAGAGTTAAGCATCCAGTATACTTGCCAACATTTTGAAATTCGCATGGGGGAGATTACACATGTTCGAAATTTAAAACATTGATGATATGTGCAAATGTACACTCTAGAGAAAAAATGACACTTTTAAAAGGCATATTCTGAGCTGTCCTTTCAGTAAAATCATTAGATCTTAGAAAATAGGAAAAGTTTAGTAAATTCACTGGTTGGAAATGCTTAAATTTAGAGTCCAAACTCGGGAGTCTCCCTGCTAAATCAGGAGTGTTGGCAAGTATAGAACTCCAAAAGGAATGAAGAAGATTCGTGGAAGCAGGTTTCTCATACATTTTGTTTTTACATACATCAAGGGAGAGTGCAAAATAATTCCATATAACAGCAGTGCTATTGTGAATATTTCTTGTTAAATGGCAGATTTACTTTAAACTACATATATTGATGAGAGTATAAGTGCTATCTGAAGAGAACAATTAATTTGAGAAACTGTTGCCTGTGCGATGTATGTCACAAACATTGAAACAGTGTTACAAGTGATGGGGAAATCAACCAATCACAAACAGTGTTACAAGTGATGGGGAAATCAACCAATCACAGACTACTGCGATACATTGTTACAAGAAATACGGAAATCAGAATCACAGACTACTGCCGAAAATCCAACAAAGAATACATTCTAGGATCTTCTGATACAGCAAATATCTGTTTTGTCCAGTTTAAAACATTTGGGAACTTATGAATACTACAGAGTGCCATTTCCTAATATACAACTGTACGATAAATCCATTTCATTATAAACACAGGAGACACACAACAAAACAGATAACACATTGGCAAATTCTCATGATCTTACTAATTCATAATGACTTTGATGTTTGTGGAAAATTTCCAGAATAAGAAATTCTGGCTTTTTTCCAAATCATTTTTGAAAATTGAACACATGAATGAAAAAATATTGACCATTAACTCATTCACCCCTGAAGTAACATTTGAACTCTTCCAATTCAGAGGTTGGAATAGTCCATCATGAAATTTCAGGGGTGAACGAGTTTAAGAACCAGAGCTGGATTGTAGATTCAAGTGCATATGACTATTTTGAAAGTCATTTTATTTTCAATCATACGTTAAAGATTTTATCTTGAATAGATAGTTAACTGTTTCAGGAGAATCATTACCGATGTAGAACCATTCAAGTATCATCGGTACTGTTTGGTTTGTTTTTTTAATTTGTTTAACGTCATTTTAACAGCTAAGGTCATTGAAGGACGTTCTGTAGTCTACTATCAAATTCTTAACAGTTATACACATGAGACATACACAAATGACGCATTTTGTATAATATTTACAAGATGAGAGTTTTGTAAGAAGAAAAAAACAGATATACAAAGTAAATGTTTATACATGTTTATAGCAAATTTGCTAAAATTTCTTCTAAAAGACAAATTTCGAAATGAAAAAAGAGTATAAATACAGAAAAGATCAATCAAAATCTGATATTTATGAAGATTTTTGAATAGAAAACAAAATTAATGCAACACAGCCAGAACCATGATTTTCAAACACTGACAAACATCAAGGCTTGCTTATGTTAAACTCATTCACCCCTGAAATTCCATAATGAACTATTCCAAACTTTGAATTGGAAGAGTTCAAATGTGTCTTCAGGGGTGAATGAGTTAAATTTGCTCAAAAAGGAATTCAATGTCTAAAGGAAATTTTTTAACATTTCTGCATTCAACACATGAGAATCCATTGCATCACACAAGCTTCCAGAGTACAAACACTCTAGTTTTTCATAACTAAAGTGTATCATGAAACCTCTCTAAATTTGACTTCTCCAATACATGCATCACGTATCGTGAAATTTCTCTCAGACTCGGCCTGAAAACTCACCAACGTAAAACAATAACAGCATCTTCAATTTCTTATTTTCTGACCCAAAAGCATAAAGTTATCAAATAAAAGCACTATGTCTTGTCAAAAACCTCTAATCTTGACTTTTCAAATAAGCACATCACACGTATCGTGAAATTTTTTCTCAGACATCAGCATGAAAACTCACCACCTCAAAATAATAACAACAACAACTTAAATGGTTATTTTTGGTCTAAGAAGAAGAAAATTGAAAATATTTTTTTGGAAAGAACAGTATTTCAATGAGCCAAAACTCTACGGAGTTTATATACTTGGTGAGATCCATTTGAAATACTACTTTACATATATGTTGCCGTGATATGAATGAAATCGGTAAATAAAAGGATTATAAGGAGCATACAAACTGTCTTTCACTCGTCGTTCACACAAAAGCAAGTAGAAAATTAACAGTACACAGGAATGGTAATAAAATGGAATTGCTAGTATTAGGGACGTTTCTCTATTAAAACTCCGTAGTCAAGAATATTTTCCAAAATAAATATAACAATGATCTGTCAATCAAGTTAAATATCAAGATATTTTAAAGGCGTTAATGTTACCATGGCAGTCATGCAAAATTAAAATCACAATCAAACTGACACCCCTGTCCTCCCCCTTACCCCGAAAAAAAAATTAAACAAATAAAACTGGTCCAAATCTTAACAATTGATACATCAGCATACAGTATTTAGGATGGACATGCTTACTTGAAACAGGAAAGTTGAAATCAAAAGTTAAGAAGACAGCCTTTGATACAGATGGCAGGTGCTTCCTGTACCGATTAGGCTCCACTAAAGACTACATTCTTTAAGTGTTTTAACATTAAAACTATTCATAAGCTATACAAAGCAACACCCCCATAAAACAAAAAATAAATCAAATTTGTTTAGCTTAATATTTCTTAAACAATGCCATCAGCTTTTGCATTTTGACCAAATACTCTTCATTTCAAAACTGTTTGCTAATTTTGCAAAGTTTACAATGAAATTTTAAATAAAGGTACAAAATCTTATATATAGCATTTTTTATGATGAACATTTTGTAAATTTCCTTAGAAAAAAAAATTACGAAGAGAAATATTAATTATAAGATGTATGAAAAAACATCTGAAGTAACTTTCATCAATGGAAATACAACAGGAAAAGAGACTGTTTAGTAAAAACTAGGTCTGAACAGATTAAGTAAAATTCAATACAGCAAGTCTTGGTCACTAGAGCTCAGGTATTTATACTCATAGTTAACAAACGTGTTAGCCTGTACTCTACCTTGTAATTAAAAGTGAATTAGTTTAATTGTTGTTTGTAAGGTGTTGGATTAGTAAACAAAACCATCAGTAAACAATTTATTATGTAATGATGAACTATGAATAATATGAGGCAGTGCAAACCACTATAACAAAACACCTTAACCTGACCTTCAGAAAAGGGTCATAAAATTGAAGTGTTAGAATTGCCTTAATCTTCAATTGTTCTTGAACACAACTATATAATCTGACTTGCAACTGACGGACTGACTTAACTCTAAAATCCTGTCCTGAGCCAATTCAATGGCCCATGAATTACGAGGGAACAAAGAACAAGAAAGACAGCTGCTTTTATAATTTCAAATTTCATATTTCATAATTTCATATTCTCAATAATTTTTCGTATTTTCGTTAATTTTCCATAATTTCATATTTTATAATTTCATTTTCAATAATTTTTGCTAATTTGGAAAGTCCCTAGATTTTAAAACAGTTCGATCCTCCCCTAGCCCTCCTGTCTCCATCGTTGATCAAGACCCTAGGTTAGTCACAACATCACATCAGACAGGGCAGGATTTTACAGAATGACCAGCTAGGACTTTGGTGCTTATACATTTTTGGTCCAGGATCTGGTACAACCTGTTTCAGAACACTTTTTGCTGCTTGGCAGTTTTCATGATGGATTATGCTGTTAATATGTCCGCAGACATTTTATTAAGTAATACATATGTATATATAACTGATAACGTCCTACGTTCAAGTTTTAAATGCTATGTTAGTAAGTCTCTCTTACGTCGAGATATTAGCATGTATAACAGTCACTCTGTGGCGACGCACTGCGCCCATACATCCATATCTCCAATCTTAACAGTAAACAAACACCTAGATATAACAAAAACTAGCTGTCGGCCATGTCATCATCAAACAGCGGGGGCCTCTGTCGCGTGTGTTGTTCATTTTGATTGGTCGGTTCAATTTCCTTTCCATCCACTCCGTACGTTGGCTTGGAGTCCGCGTTGAGGCTTGTCGTCTCGTTTGCGTCCGATGGAGGTGGTCCCATCACGATGGCACCGGTCCCACCCTGGGGCTGGGATGTCACAGGGGATTGGTCCTCAGGACTACTGAACTCATCCTGTAAATCATATGTAGGCAATGAGTATATCATTTGATTATATATATGTACACGCAAATGTCAAAGTATGTCACATTTATCGACAGGTAAATAACAGGTGATGGTATGTAAGATGTGATTCCAAGAGAGGTAAATCATGGTGCCACTATGTGTGTCACCTGTCCATTCAAAGTTTTGTTTGTGTTTTACGTCCTATTAACAGCTATGGTCATTTAAGGACGTGCCAGGTTTTGGTGGTGGAGGAAAACCGGAGTTCCCGGAGAAAAACCACCGACCAACGGTCAGTACCTGGCGACTGCCCCACGTCGGCCTCGAACCCGCGACCCAATAGTGGCCAGTGGTAGCAGAATGTCAGATGCCTTAACCACTTGGCCACCGCGGCCCCTTCCATTCAAAGACAGGTAAAATTCAAGTGGCGTTCCCAGAGAGATAATTCATGGCAACACTTTATATGTCACCTGTCCATTCGCAGACAGGTAAATTTCAGGTGAGGGTATAAAAATGTTCATTTCCAAAGCGATATTCATGGTGACAATATATGTATTATGTCACCTGTTCATTCAAAGACAGATAAATTTCAGGTGACAGTTTGTCATTAAGCTGTTCATTCCCAGAGAGGTAATTCATGGCGACACTATATGTCACCTGTCCACTCAAAGACAGGTAAATTTCAGGTGATATTATTTCACTGCAAGTCTTGAAAATCTTTGTCAAGGCTAATTAAAAATTGATATAAAAACTCCTAGGTCCATATTTAATAAATACACAACTGAACTCTAACTGGTCAAATTTTTCGGACTGCAATTAAGAAAATCGACCATGGCATCTAAGCCAATATCATATTTCTAATTTCTTACTGACAAAAGGAGAGGTTGAGATTGTTTTAATCATTTGCATCTTCTCTGAATTCTTCGTCGGCTATTAATTAATATAGGCTGATTAGCATGAGGGATTTAAAGTCCTTATACAAAAAAATTGTAACATTTGAAGGAGAATTGAAGACGGGTGCCTAAGTATTTGAAGATTCGGACAAAGAAAAGAGAGTAAGAATTAGATATAACAAGAGTCCCAACGGGCCTGTATCCCTCACCTGATAACAAGAGCACCGCTAACGGATGCATAATACGCCCGTCTGACCCTATCCAATGGTTCTTGTTTGTTAAATTAAAAATAAGGACAATAACACATGATCTGACTGAACTGTAGACCACTGAAGAAACTTGCACCTAAACTTTAACCAGACAGACGGACGGACGGACGCAAACGCTATACCATAATATGCCTGTCAAATTTCGACGGGCGTATGAAAAATTAGAAGATATTCTTGAAGTGTTTGTATATAGACAATGAATACAGGATAAACAACTGTATAGCAGAAAGCTGTTATGCAAAAACATTAAAACAATAACAAGAGGCCCAGTGGGCAGGTATCCCTCACATGGATATATAAGCAATCATGGGGAAAATGTTCTCAATAAAAGTAACTCAAAGATATTGAGTCTCTTTGGCTTAGAGTGTTCCAGACTAAATGATTGAGATCTCGTAATCCGTACTGAAGGAGGAATTCAAAGATTATTTTCCTGTTAACCTCTACTGAGACCCGTTCTGCTGCTCTTCGGGTAGCCAGACCCTCCATTTATACTGGCTAAATATACCAGTACTGTGGGCTTCCAGGTTATTCAGAATTTTTTTTTTTTTGTTGATGTTGAAAGTAGGTCAAGCGCATTTCTTTGATGAAACTTTGAACTACTCTATCCCAACATGCTTCTTGGCAAACTATCATCACCCTGGCACTTTCTGTTATAAGGAAGAAGTTGTTTAAAAGATTTATACACATTTGTCCCTATGACCTTAAAAGTAGGTCAAGGTCATTTACTAGAGGAAACTTTATACTACTCTATGCCTGCATGCTACTGATCAAACAGCATCATCCAGGGCTTCCTGGACATTAAAACAAGTATCATGTCTTATCACAATTGATATTTACTTCTTACTTCAGCTGCTGAAACCTTATTTTAAAAACATTTTTTTGCAAATTTATTGACAGTGATCAATATTGTGCCTTAAGGTTAATTGTTAATCTACAATTACTCAGACTAGCAGGTAGAATACAAAGGTATAGGATTGGTTATATGTCATATAGATTATGTACATTACAAAAAAATTAAACTTAAGGATCCCTGTACCACTACCAAAAACTGTTATTAAATGTTGGACACAATTTTTTTTCGGCATTACTATTGCTTTGATAAAGTGTTCTGAATATAATCAACAACAGTGATCTGAGTGGAACAAATTCAGCTAGACTGGGGTTTGTACACCGGACGTAAGATTATTACAGTGTACTATATCGCTCTAACCAATTGAGCTACCTGGTCAACGGAAACATCCTAGTCCGACTGTGCTACAGTTATATCCAAATGGAAGTTAAGGGGAGGTAACTACTGTATATAGGAAAAACCAAAGTGCAGTGGGACAGGGATCCTAGTGAAGTGGTACACAGCGAAACCTACTAAATACTACTTAAAGAAGTCTAGCTAGCTAGGCTGGTCCACCTGTTCTACGTTATATGCTGTTCAAATGTTCGAAGTTGAAGAATAAACAAATTGGTCTAAATAACATTTTAGATCAACAATTTCATTGATCATTATAATTTTTCACTGATGTTAAAAAAGTTGAAGAAATGAAATGCAAGTTATATGATTGATACAGGAATTGCAGCATTAGTGTTGTCAATTTAAACCTGAATCCTAAGCACACTCATCCCAAAAGGAATTAATCATCAGAGCTATTTCAGGATCATCCAAATTACTCTTGTAAACAAGATGTGAAAAGACATTTTTAATGAAAACATAAATTATTCAGTTTTTTACAAGATGTTTAAAGCTGCAATAGAAACTTGTTTTACAAAAAGATGGAAAGCTTGTAAAGAAAGAAACTTAACAGTAATAAAAAAAAAAAAAAATAAGAATTCCACAGAAGAGAATTGTGTTGCCTACCCCCAGCATAAGTGATGACTCGATACTATACAAATAAGAAACAAATAAAACATAAACTATGTGACTTTTTACAAAATCTAAGATGGCCACTGGCAGCAATGGTGATTTTAAGATTTGGGTCAATTTTATTGAACTTGAGTATTATAATTGACACTATAGGGATGTGTAGAAAGTTTCATAAAAATGAAAGCATTTGTTGTGCATGGAAACCATGTGACGTGCTTTTTACGAAATCCAAGATGGCCACTGGCGGCAAAGTTTATTGTCAGATTTGGGGTGAAATTGAGCGGTGTTTGAGACTAATTAACCGGTGCAGAAAGTTTTGTGAAAAAAAATCAACGTATTCCTACAATAGTGCTAATGGACTTCCTTAATCTAAACTTTGCTTTTGCAGGGGACACAAAAACCGCCGATTTTGTTTGTTGAGTGGCTCTGCTTTCAACCTGTAGATCAACCTGGTCTCCAAGTGTTAGTAGTTATAGGACCCCGCAATCGCACAGTGGTGGAACCTTGTTAATTTGGACTTCAATACTCAAGGAAATTTTCTTCACAATATCCTTGTTAAACAAAATTTGTTGGTGTCAAAATAGATGATTTTTAATGCCTCTGCCATCAGTCAAACTAGGGACTATTTGCGTTTATACCTAGTCAAGTTTTCCAATTTAGCTAAAGAAAACGCCATCTAACTGAATCAGAAACAAGCAACTAGACGGTTCAACACTATATCAGGTGCACACTTCCCCTCAATAGAAAACCTTGTTCTTGATTCTTCCAGATCAGTACAACAAAATATTCTATATCAGGTTATTTATACGCAACGCAAATTTCCCAAATTCATTCAAAATCTAATTTCCACATTGGATTATTTGTGATTTTATCTCCATATTTATGAAAATCTCCATATTAATTATGCATGACATTTTTTGGTATGTGACAAAAAGTTTTGTTTTGTGGGTTTTTTCATCATTTTTGTATATTTCATCATCTCCCGAAAAGTGAAAATTAGATACTCTAGAAAATATACCTAATATATATATATGGTATTGGTTGTAAGTGCAGGACTCCAGAGAGTATTGTACATAGTGCCCAAGTCACTGAGCCTTGACATCAATGTCACATAGGAAATTTTCCTTAGTCATGTTCTACAGAATGAGCTACAGGGAGATTTTCTCTACCCTAGTCGATAATAAGACTAAGACACATTTCTGATTTTTTCGGCAGAATGAAAACAAAGTCCAAATTAATGAAGTGCCACTGTATGCGAGAAGAAGTCCTCCTGTTAGCCATAGCCTGTGAGTGGGAAGCTGGTTACAGACAGACTGAAGCGTGCTGTATAGGACCAGCTCGTAAACGGTAGTAAGTTGTTTACTTTATTTACATGTAGGTTGGCATACTCTCCCTCCTCATCCGGAGCACGCGGCCTGCACTTTCCGCAGCAGAAGTTACAGCAGCAGCAGCAACAACAGCAGCAGTAGCAGCCGGTGATCAGCCCACAGACAACAAACAACGCCTGGAACGAAAATAGTACAAATCTCATTGTATGTAAACCTACATGTACATACTCAAATTTACTTGTATGTAATACTACATACTCAAATTTACTTGTATGTAATACTACATACTCAAATTTACTTGTATGTACCCTACATACTCAAATTTACTTGTATGTAAACCTACATACTCAAATCTCATTGTATGTAAACCTACATACTCAAATTTACTTGTATGTAAACATACATACTCAAATTTACTTGAATGTAAACATACATACTCAAATTTACTTGTATGTAAACCTACATGTACACACTCAAATTAACTTGTATGTAAACCTACATGTACATACTCAATTTTACTTGTATGTAAACCTACATACTCAAATCTCATTGTATGTAAACCTACATACTCATATGTAAATCACTGCATTTACTTGTATGAAAACCTACATACTCAAAATTTACTTGTATGTAAACCTACATACTAAAATGTACTTGTATGTAATACTACATACTCAAATTTACTTGTAAGTAATACTACATACTGAATGAAAAATTACTACATACTGAAATTCACTTGTATGTATTACTACATACTGAAATTTATTGGTATGTAAAACTACATACTGAATGAAATTTTACGTCATACTCAAATTTACTTGTATGTAAACCTACATACTCAAGTTTACTTGCATGTAAACCTACATACTCAAACTTACTCTGCTCCTTGGCAGTTGCCACAATATGTACACACAAATGTTAGCTGTTATTTACAAGACCATAACTCCTGAATGTGATATAATTACCATTGTGACGACATAAACATTAAATAGGATATTGCTGGTCTCTCAAATTCTAAAAACCTAGGTACAAGTTTTATGAGCAAATATTACAAAATTTAGATATCAATTGATGTAAAAATTAAACAAATATTTAGATTGTAGAATTCAAAATCTACTCCAACTTTGAAGATAAAATATAAAATTAAGATACTGATATCAGTAAATTGGAAAATTAATCAGTTATAAATTTTCAAGTAGCAAACAACATTCTGTTCACGTAATTCAGAGCAGGATAACATGTCAGACATATTGTTTATAAATTGAAAGTGCAACGACTTATATTTTTTGATTTGTCTATGTAAGTAACCCATTACTTTAATATACCACCACAAGTTTCATAAATAGATCTGACCTTGACCTAGACCTATGACCTAATTTTACATTAGGCCAAAACTATAATCTAAAAAACATGTTTCACAAAATTGATATGACCTTGACCTATGACCTAATGTTACATTAAGCCATGACCTTAATCTATCAAAACCATGTTGGATCCATAAACACAATATAGATCTGGCCCTCACCCAAGACCTTATCTAACGTCGGCTAATATGCTTCGTACAACAAATTTAAATGTCCTTGATCATGACCTGTGTCATATATATATGCTAATGGTACATTAGTTATACTGACAATATTGTGTCTGACCTTGACCTATATAACCATACCATACACCAGCCACTGAGACAATATGGTGTCTGACCTTGACCTATATAACCATACCTTACACCAGCCACTGGGACAATATGGTGTCTGACCTTGACCTATATAACCATCCCTTACCCCAGCCACTGGGACAATATGGTGTCTGACCTTGACCTATATAACCTTACCTTACAACAGCCACTGGTGAGGGTGAGTTACATTAGTTGTATTGACAATATCGTTTCTGACCTTGACCTTTATAACTACAACTTACACCCGCTGCTAGGACAATATCGTGTCTGGCCTTGACCTATATATAACTATACCTTACACCAGCTGCTAGGACAATATCGTGTCTGGCCTTGACCTATATATAACTATACCTTACACCAGCTGCTGGTGAGGGTGAGTTACATTAGTTGTACTGATAATATTATATCTGACCTTGACATATATAACAATACATTACACCAGCCACTGGGACAATATCGTATCTGACCTTGACCTATATAACCATACCTTACACCAGCCACTGGGACATTATGGTGTCTGACCTTGACCTATATAACCATACCATACACCAGTCACTGGGACAATATGGTGTCTGACCTTGACCTATATAACCAAACCATACACCAGCCACTGGGATAATACGGTGTCTGACCTTGACCTATATAACCATACCTTACACCAGCCACTGGGACAATATGGTGTCTGACCTTGACTTATAAAACCATACCTTACACCAGCCACTGGGACAATATGACCTTGACCTATATAACCATACCTTACACCAGCCACTGGGTCAATATGGTGTCTGACCTTGACCTATATAACCTTACCTTTCACCAGCCACTGGGACAATATAGTGTCTGACCTTGACCTATATAACCATATCTTTCACCAGCCACTGGGACAATATAGTGTCTGACCTTGACCTATATAACCTTACCTTTCACCAGCCACTGGGACAATATAGTGTTTGACCTTGACCTATATAACCATACCTTTCACCAGCCACTGGGACAATATGGTGTCTGAACTTGACCTATATAACCTTACCTTACACCAGCCACTGGTGAGTGTGAGGTACATGTTGACATTCTCTTCTCCAATTTGGTCGGCCAGGTAGATACCCATAGAGCCATACCTGTCGTAGATTCCACGCTTGGTCGTGTCCGTTAGAACTGTGTGTGCTTTGGCTATATCTTTAAACTGCAAAGACATAAAAAGACAATTTAGTTATCAATAAACATGCATAAAAGCTATGATTTCATACCTCAAGGGTAACGTTGTAGATGCAGCTTAAAGAGTTTAACTCATTCACCCTGAATACACATTTGAACTCCTCCAATTCAAAGGTTGGAATAGTTCATTGTGAAATTCCAGGGGTGAATGAGTTAAATAGCACTGATTTAAGTTATCTCCAATGTAAGGCCATAGAGTTGAGTTGTTAAGTTTTCTTCCTTGTAAAGTTAAGTGTTGGTGTTTTGTCCCATGAGTTGCATAAGTTTGTGGGTTTATTCTCATAAGATCAAGGAATTTTTTTAACTCTGTTGCTTTGATAAAATAATTTGTTAAAAATCCTTACAAGTGACAAACTTGATGTTGATATTGATTGTTAGCTTTAGCACATTCACCCCTGAAATTTCAAAATGAACTATTCCAAGCTTTGAATTGGAAGAGTTCATGTGTGTCTTCGGGGGTGAATGAGTTAACTATTATCACAATCAGAATATCTTAATTATCTGGTAAAACCAGGAGAATGGGACTGGAGAAGATGTATTATTCAGCAGGCATTACTAGTTCTGAAAATCTGACAAAATGTTATTTATTTATTGATAAGATTACATAATGGTCCTTGTAAGAAGCTGCAATATCAATTTTGTGTAGAAATTTCATGCATGAATATTACATGTCCGTCTCAGGATCTAAAGTTTCCACCATTCTATACGCTTACAACAGACAAATCTAACAAGATCCATTCCATGAATCCCGAGGGGACACACAACTGGACCTTGTATTGACCAGCCCCTAGTTTAGAGACAAGAGATCAAAATTAAGGCAGTGAGGCAGGTCCCACTGGGCCAATAGTCACGGTACTTCATTTACCCAGATAAATATTGATAATTTGATATAAGAGAGGACAGACTCTCTTATTCTACCCCACATATTTATACCAATGATGCACCACATGTACATTAGATATGTTCCTCCTGTACCGTACTTGTTCCGGTGAAAAGGGTTTACCGAAACACCTTCGCCCAGTCAAATATTCGCCCTTTACTGGTAAAATCCATGTTCGCCCAGTGTTCATTTCACCTCTCACATGTAATAACTATATATGGTAATGATGTCAAGTTATATCCACTCATATTATGAGTTCGCCCTCATTGGGGTGGGCAAAAAAAGTGAAAATTATCCTGCAGCGAAAATTTCGCTGTATATATCACTTACTCGATCCCTTCCCTATATATACACTTCAACCTGTCCAACCTATGCACTACATGTATATCAGATATGTTCCTCCTGTAATAATAATAATAATAATAGACTTTATTTAAACTTGATTACATATTAAGTCAAAGACTCGTCTCCCATATGGTCAAGCATATTAAAAAATGTACATTATATACAACAAGTACAATATAACTACTGTATACCAAAAAACTCTCACCAAGTCAAATATTCGCCCTTTACCAGTAAAATCAATGATCGTACAGCGTTATTTTGCCTTCCACATGTAATAACTATATGTATGTTGTGCTGTCAACTTATATCTGCTCACATGCTGAATTTACACTCATTGCGATGGGCAAAAAAAGGCGAAAATTAACCTTCGGCAAAAAAATAACCCGGTACACACTACCCATGTCCTGTGTGAATTGGTATTTATATACCTAGTTATTAGAATCAGAGATAATTAAGTAGAGGTGTCAAAAATATTTGAGTTGAAGGTATATAAAACAAAGCCAATTTTATGACATAACAAATTTATTTGGTATTTAATGGAAGGGGGTAATTTTACTATTTACCAGCTAACTACGGTAATGATTGATTATTTTCTAGCTATACTTTAGACTATATTTAACAGGAAGATCCAGAGACTGGAATTTATAGAGGTTCGTTTTTATTTTGTTTGGTTTTACATCTTATAAACAGTTACGGTAATTTCAGGACGAGCCAGATTTTGGTTGTGGAGGAAACCCCAGAGAACCTGGAGAAAAACCACCGACCTGAGGCCAGTACCTTGCGACTACCCTATATACAAGTAAGCCTTGAACCTCAACCCATTGGTGGAAGGCTATTGATCATAGGCAGTCAGACATCTTAACCACTTGGCCAACACAGCCATTGAAAGGTGTTGGTGTGTAAATCTATACAGTGATTTACTAAATGAGAATCCGATCAAAACATGTATCTTCAGTCAGACATTGAAATGAATAGTCTGAATAAATACTTGTACATACAGGGTTTTTTAATATATATATATATATATAAATATATATTAATGTGGATGTCTAAAAGCCTGTACAAAATAAGTTAAATCTCTTCACAGCATTATAATTAATGAGACATACTATTGTGACCAATCCATAATCCCCTATCTTTGAACAAGTGCAGGATTAAAAAAAGGGGCCATAACTCTGTATATACATTTTAGCATACGTCATTTCACCATCCCCAGGGGAAATTACATACAAAATCTTGCATTTTTTTGTAAAAGAAAGAATATTTACGTTTGACATATTCCAGATATAGCAATGAACGCATGGACTGACGTCGCAGGGATGGTGTGCAAACCAAACCTCTTTTCTGGCATTACCGGTGGGGGACTAATTATTAGCAATGAACGTGAAAAATATCATCTTAACCACCTGTAGTGAAGACGTTTAGTTCAGCGTAATGTTAAAATCTTACAAATGCAAAGTACATCACAGGCACTCCCGTGGAAAGTATTGATTTACAATTTGATCTTTAAAGGGGAAATATGTTACAATATCATTACTGCTTATATGTATAATGTAAATCAAATTTGAAGCAGAATGACGGCAAAAGATTACGGACTGTCGAAATTATATATAATGACAGCACCAGCTAGGAGCACATGCGGCCTCAAACAGAAGAAAAGCCCCATATATAGCAAGGACACTTATATGACCAAGCCTCATATATAATGATGGAGGCAAGGATCAGATCCTGGTAATGGGTTCTTATGGTCGTATCTTTGGAGCTTCTTAACTTAATCTCGTTTTTTATGGTAACACACAGAGCATTTCTATCAAACTTACTTTAGGAAAGATATACTTAATATGGATTGGAAATTCTATCAAATATTCTGCTATCTAATTATGTGATGATCACAAAGGATAGCCACTTATCACATAGTCAGGGCTTAAACAAGTTGATAAAGCTTTACTTTATGGCTCAACTTAATATGTCACTGAAAAAAATAAAAATAGATGCACTTGTTTCAAAACAAAAGGTCTTAGGTGACCAAAAAACAAACCAACAACATTTTACAACAATTCTGATATTGTAATCAAACACCCTGTTACACTGAATTTTTTAACCCTTTCACCCCTATAGGTAACTTTAGTAGAATCTACCATACATTTATTTGGATGAGTCCATTTTGGTCTACAGTGGGGAAAGGGTTAACTAGAAATTATACAGAATGAAGGAAGTGTCTTTTCTAGCTTAAACACGGGGCAATTTACCAAAATCAATTACCTATACAGAACTGTACTTCACCGTAACACAGGATAACAGATCTACATGTAGAAAGCTTTCACATTATTGGGTACATGCAGTGCTAAGATGGGAGTTCTGAATATCTGCCCCAATGCATTTCTTATAACATGCATGTCAGTAAATTAATTTGATGTTAAAAGACTTAAAATCATTATTTTTTATTTGTTTCCTTGTAGTTAATTACAGAATGCAATAAATATACAGAACTTCCTTTTTTTTTCAAACAGGAACCTACATGTATATACATACTTCCACTAAAGGAACATGTAACTATATAGATCACTTGTATAAATCACCTACAACCATATAGTGTTAATGATCTATAAAAAGCTCTGATGATTTACATGTTTTGGGATGAGTGTGCTAAAGAACAAAAAGAACAAAATTCAAGTTTTTATTGATAACACTAAGGCTGCAATTCCTGCATCAATCATAACATGCCTTTTAATTTATTTCTTTGACCTTTGAACATCAGCAAAATGATTGATGACATTGGTATTCTAGAAGGTTATTTAGACTAATTTGTTTATTCTTCGACTTTGAACATTTCACTTGGAACAGCATATATAACTTAGAACAGGTGGACCAACCCAGCTAGCTAGACTTCTTCTAGTAGCGAAAAAAGTATTTAGTAGGTTTCATTGTGTACCACTAAGGATCGCTGTCCCACTGCACTGTGGCTTTTCCTATATATACAGTAACCTACTCTCAATTTCATTTCAGATATATTTACTACTGCATATAGTGGGTCCAGGAATCTTCCATTGACAAGGAAGCTGATTGGGTTAGAGCAACATAATACCAGGAATCTTCCATTGACAAGGTAGCTTGAGTGGGTTAGAGCGACATAATACATGGAATCTTCCACCCAAGGAAGCTGAGTGGGTTAGAGCGACATAATACCAGGAATCTTCCATTGACAAGGTAGCTCAGTGGGTTGGAGCGACATAATACCAGGAATCTTCCATTGACAAGGAATCTGAGTGGGTTAGAGCGACATAATACCAGGAATCTTCCATTGACAAGGTAGCTCAGTGGGTTAGAGCGACATAATACCAGGAATCTTCCATTGACAAGGTAGCTCAGTGGGTTAGAGCGACATAATACCAGGAATCTTCCATTGACAAGGTAGCTGAGTGGGTTAGAGCGACATAATACCAGGAATCTTCTATTGACAAGGTAGCTGAGTGGGTTAGAGCGACATAATACCAGGAATCTTCTACTGACAAGGTAGCTGAGTGGGTTAGAGCGACATAATACATGGAATCTTCTATTGACAAGGTAGCTGAGTGGGTTAGAGCAACATAATACCAGTAATCTTCTATTGACAAGGTAGCTCAGTGGGTTGGAGCGACATAATACCTGGAATCTTCCATTGACAAGCTAGCTGAGTGGGTAAGAGCAACATAATACCAGTAATCTTCCATTGACAAGCTAGCTGAGTGGGTAAGAGCGACATA